CACCTCAAAGCTAGTGCATTCGCTAACATAAGTTCCGTCCAAATCGCAATATAGTATTCTACACTGAGCGCGGAGTCGCAATACAAAGTGAAGTCAAAACAATGATGACAGGTAACACAATGCGCTTCTCAAGTGACTAACATGTTGCAGAGTTTAGTGCTGGCTACAAACGGAAGGTTGCCCAGCTGTGTTCGGTTGGCGAAATGAAATTAACCGAGGGCAAAGGTCCATTGTCATATTCAGGTGCATGTGAATGGAATTTTGGATTGTCGATTCTACTTTAGTAAAGGCTACAGATATATGGCTCTGCAAGCGATCACTGCTTTGAGTAAGACCACTGGAGTACTCCCGCACGCCTATGCATCATGACGTCACCAACATTTCATGATGTGATGCGGCTTACTCTACGGCTCCAACGAGAAGAGCTGCAGCAGACGGCACAGACGATGCGCATTGATCGACGAAGTAAATACAGTTTTGAGCTGCGACTCGAACGTGTGCAGCAGCTCGAGCAGCACCAGTGGCTTCTCTGTACTGTCGCATTCAATCATGCTTTAGTCCAAATTCACCGGAATAACAAACAAATTGTCGTCCAACGCGTCGTTGACTGTGATGAGTTCAGCGTGGGGCATGCCGATGGCGGCGAGTTTCCGAGAGTTCCGCGTCAGAGTCGCGGAAATCAAGATGTGAATGAGCGGAATGCGGATGCGGTGGGGGTTCTTGCCGTCCGCCCGGGGGATTGTTGAAGGGTGCAAGGTTGCACCCGCGACCAAGTCTACAAGCAAGTCAGACGATGTGTCAAGGAGAAAGCGGGTCATTCGGCCATCACGACCATAGAGTCGTTGAAGCGGCCCGACGACTCGGTTGGCGACAACGATGAAGCCGATGCAAATTTTGAAAGCGTTGACAACTCGAGTCGAAGCGGCCCGTCGACTCGGTTGACGACAACGATGAAGCCGATGCAAATTTGGAAAGCGTTGTCCAGTGGACGCGAGACCATGTCAAGCTAAAGCTCCTCGAGTCAATCACACACTGTTGTGTCGAGCACTGTCGTTTTGAA